ACTGTCTGTAATAGTCTGTAGTACTGTCTGTAATAGTCTGTAGTACTTTATGTAGTACTGTATGTAGTAGTCTGTAGTACTGTCTGTAATAGTCTGTAGTACTGTCTCTAGTACTGTCTGTAGTAGTCTACAGTACTGTCTGTAGTACTGTCTGTAGTAGTCTGTAGCTCTGTATGTAGTACTGCCTGTAGTAGTCTACAGTACTGTCTGTAATAGTCTGTAGCACTACTACTGTCTGTAGTACTGTCTGTAGTAGTCTGTGGTATTGTCTGTAATAGTCTGTAGTACTGTCTGTAGTAGTCTAAAGTACTGTCTGTAGTACTGTCTGTAGCTCTATATGTAGGACTGTCTGTAGTAGTCTGTAGTACTGTCTGTAGTACTGACTGTAGTACTGTCTGTAGTACTGACTGTAGTAGTCTACAGAACTGACTGTAGTAGTCTACAGTACTGACTGTAGTACTGTCTGTAGTAGTCTGTAGAATGGTCTGTAGCTCTGTACGTAGTACTGCAGTGGTGGTTACTGTCGGTCAGAAGTAATCCGGCTCTTGGATTAAATCTGATAATCTCATTAAAAAACGTTGAGCCTCCATCAGCCGATCAACACCGCAGAGGTCACCTCAGGTCGTCTTCATGACTTTATTTACATCAAACGTGTCCCAATGGGACACCCAGTGTCTGTCCTGTCCCTGCCCCATCCAGTCTCATTCTTGTCCCAGTTCCCATCCCTACTATCATCTGATCCCTCCCCCTTTCCTGTCTCACCACTGTCTGTCCATCCTGTCCCATCTCATACCTGTCCTGTCCCTTTGTCTTCCTGTCCCCTCCTGTCCTGTCCCTTTGTCTTCCTGTCCCCTCCTATCCTGTCCCCCACATGTTGTGCTTCTAAATAAAAGTAAAAGTTTTAAAACTCAAACATTCATTCAAGTCCAGACCACCACAGAACCAGAACCTGAGCCCCGTCTCTGGACTAGATCAGCATCAGTGACACCTGTGAGCACCGAGGAACCTGACAAAAGTCTCCCACAGTAACGTTGTGGTTCTGTGGGTCCACGTGGTTCTGTGGGTCCACATGGTTCGGTGGGTCCACATGGTTCTGTGGGTCCATGTGGTTCTGTGGGTCCACATGGTTCTGTGGGTCCATGTGGTTCTGTGGGTCCATGTGATTCTGTGGGTCCACGTGGTTCTGTGGGTCCACGTGGTTCTGTGGGTCCATGTGATTCTGTGGGTCCATGTGATTTTGTGGGTCTGTGCGATTCTGTGGGTCCACTTGGTTCTGTGGGTCCACTTGGTTCTGTGGGTCCATGTGATTCTGTGGGTCTGTGTGGTTCTGTGGGTCCATGTGGTTCTGTGGATCTAAGTGGTTCTGTGGATCTAAGTGGTTCTGTGGATCCATGTGGTTCTGTGGGTCCACTTGGTTCTGTGGGTCCACGTGGTTCTGTGGGTCAACGTGGTTCTGTGGATCTATGTGGTTCTGTGGGTCCATGTGGTTCTCTGGGTCCATGTGGTTCTGTGGATCCATGTGGTTCTGCAGGTCCATGTGGTTCTGTGGGTCCATGTGGTTCTGTGGATCCATGTGGTTCTGTGGGTCCATGTGGTTCTGTGAATCTATGTGGTTCTGTGGATCCACTTGGTTCCGTGGGTCCATGTGGTTCTGTGGGTCCATGGGGTTCTGTGGGTCCACTTGGTTCTGTGGATCCATGTGGTTCTGTGGTTCTATGTGGTTCTGTGGATCCATGTGGTTCTGTGGATCCATGTGGTTCTGTGGGTCCATGTGGTTCTGTGGATCCATGTGGTTCTGTGGATCCATGTGGTTCTGTGGTTCTATGTGGTTATGTGGATCCATGTGGTTATGTGGATCCATGTGGTTCTGTGGGTCCATGTGGTTCTGTGGATCCATGTGATTCTGTGGATCCACTTGGTTCCGTGGGTCCATGTGGTTCTGTGGGTCCACTTGGTTCTGTGGGTCCATGTGGTTCTGTGGTTCTATGTGGTTATGTGGATCCATGTGGTTCTGTGGATCCATGTGGTTCTGTGGGTCCATGTGGTTCTGTGGGTCCACTTGGTTCTATGGGTCTACTTGGTTCTGTGGGTCCATGTGGTTCTGTGGGTCCATGTGGTTCTGTGGATCCATGTGTTTCTGTGGATCTATGTAGTTCTGTGGGTCCATGTGGGTCTGTGGATCCATGTGGTTCTGTGGGTCCACATGGTTCTGTGGGTCCACGTGGTTCTGTGGATCCATGTGGTTCTGTGGATCTATGTGGTTCTGTGGTTCCACGTGGTTCTGTGGTTTTGTGGATCCATGTGGTTCTGTGGATCCATGTGGTTCTGTGGGTCCATGTGGTTCTGTGGATCCATGTGGTTCTGTGGGTCCATGTGGTTTTGTGGATCCATGTGGTTCTGTGGTTCCATGTGGTTCTGTGGGTCCATGTGGTTTTGTGGATCCATGTGGTTCTGTGGTTCCATGTGGTTCTGTGGGTCCATGTGGTTCTGTGGATCCATGTGGTTCTGTGGATCCATGTGGTTCTGTGTGTCCATGTGGTTTTGTGGATCCATATGTTTCTGTGGGTCCATGTGGTTCTGTGGTTCCATGTGGTTCTGTGGATCCATGTGGTTCTGTGGGTCCATGTGGTTCTGTGGATCCATGTGGTTCTGTGGGTCCATGTGGTTTTGTGGGTCCATGTGGTT